TGGGGGGAGGGTGGGACTTGCTGGGCGCTGCTGGGCTGTGGCAGTGGAGGAGGCAGTTACTATGGCCAGTGGGCTGGAGCCTCCTCTCTTTTTCTGTTTGTTGTCTTCCTGCTCACTTGCAGTAGCAAGTCTGGGTCCTGGTGGATCCATGCTGTGCTGTGTGCATGCAGCAACTGCGTAAGCCAACTACTTGTAGTCTGCATGGTTTCCATCTTCAAAGTGGACGGAATGGAACTTCATGTGAGCTCCTTAAAGTGAAGCTGGTCCTCTACTGCCTGAGCTCAGAGGATCTTCGCAATACTCACTGCTGTTATTCTGACTTTTGCAACAAGATCTACCTCAGGGTGTCCAGTGGTCACTGCAAGGAATCTGAACACCCTTCCATGTAGGGTCCTGTGGAGCTGGTAGGCATCATTACAGACCTAGTCTTCTTCCAGTTCCTCCTCATCATTATTGTCTTCTTTGTCATTAACTATCATTAATGTGTGTATCACAACTGCCAGACTGGGCATGGAAGGTCCTTCTTGTGAGATGTGTCTCTTTAAAGACAAGCCGATCCTGGATTTTGATGACCATCTCTGCACATCATGATCACATCCACTTTGTGTTTAGTGCACAGTGGTCTAAACTATCATTTTACAGGAGATCATTAGCAAGGTCCAATTTAGAGAAGTGTGGCATGGCTGCTGAAGGGTGGTGATGTGGCTGTGAAAATTTTCTCTTTTTGTGAAGAGTGGTCCTGGTTCCAGGAAGCTATGATGACCCATGAAAACATCCTTGGATTTTTTGCTGCTGATAATAAAGATAATGGCATCTGGACATAGCTATGGCTTGTCTCTGACTATCATGAGCATGGCTTCCTGCTTGATTATCTGAACTGCTCCACAGTGCTGATGCCTCTATTCATAGTGAGCAACATCTAGTTTCCTTGGTGGCCTTTCTAGAAGTCCTCTCCCCCAGTATCCTCTGCCAGGGTGGCTCTCCCTTCCCAGCAGGCTGCTCTGTCCATCCAGTGTCAGTATGGCTCTGCTCCTCTATTTCAGACTGGAACCAAAGCTGGCCCAGGTAACCATGGCAGGCTTTGGAGTCAAAACATGAAGGGGAGAGGGACTGACTGGAAGAATCTTGGTGGAAATCTTGGGTGTTATGTCAGCATCAGCAGTGGGAAATAAACCAATGCCCAAGGGCATTTTGCTCAACATCAAGGAAGGGCCAAAGAATCTAAGAACAGATCTTGGCACTGAGATCTTAATAGCACATCTGTCTGTCTCATCCCAGATTTTTCAAACTGCATGTATATTTTTGGTGGTGGTGAGTTTGAGGTTGGGAACAGAAGGGTGGAGCAAGGAGTGGGAGGAAGTCTGGAGTGTGAGGGAGGCATCTGCAATGGGCCTTCTTTTACTGGATTATCCAATCGTGTGGAGGGAAGAGAAGGATTTGCATCCACTTCAGGGGCCCTACAAAAGGGAATACCCTGAGCTAAACATGTTATTTAACCTAAGTGTAGTGTTTAATGAAGTCTAGAACAGTTGTGGGTGGTGATTTGGTCAGCATATCTTAAAATATAACTTTGAAGCCATAACTTTTAACTGGAGTGGTTTGATTTTATTTATTTATTTATTTATTTTCTATTTATTCATTTAGTCATATGTGCATACATTATTTGGATCATTTCTCCCCCTACCCTCCCGCCTCCTCCTTCTTCCCCCAACCCCCCTCACTTCCAGGCAGAACCTGTTCTGCCATTTTCTCTAATTTTGTTGAAGAGAAGACATAAGCAATAATAAGAAAGACATAGCGTTTTTGCTAGTTGAGGTAAGGATAGCTATACAGAGAGATTCCTAGCATTACTTCCATGCACAAGTGTATTACAACCTGAATTGATTCATCTCTACCTGACCTCTTCACTACTTCTGGTCACCTTCCCATATTGACCTCTGTCACTTTAAGGTTACTGTATTAGCTCCTCTACAGTGGGGACATCAAACACTTTCAAGTTTTGGGTTTCCTACCTATCCCCATTCCTTCCATATGTGCTCTCCCCTTATCATGTGACCCAAGTCCAACAACATTACTGCCTTTGCCCTAGATCTAAAGTCCACATATGAGGGAGAACATATGATTTTTGGTCTTCTGAGCCTGGCTAACCTCGCTCAGGATGATGTTCTCCAGTTTCACCCATTTACTTGCAAATGTATTTTATTTTATTAAGAGGGCCTGGATTTTAACTTTTCCAAAATAATGTTAAGTTTTTGTAAAAGGAAAACCATCTCTATGTGATGATTGCCTCTCAATCTATTTGTTTTTAAAGAAATCTCTTAAAAAAATCCCACAAAAAATTCTCCAATCAAATGCACATAGCTCAACACACTGGAAATGTTTATCCTTCTACCTGAGCCTGTTCCTACTCAGAAGTGAGATTTCTTTCCTCTTTGCCCTGTGGGCTTGGTCTCTTTTGCATTCTGTCCCCATCCCAGGAGGACTCTTATCTTTTTGTTCATTGAGCAGCCTCTTGCACTCTTTCCAGGCATTTGTTCCATGGGTCATGTGCCTGTTGGGTGCCCTGCTGGGTTGGGCTGAGCTGGGCTGGGCCTGGAAACACCTCTTAGAACTAGACAGTTTGGGTACTGCTCGTGGAGCACTGAAGAGGGAGGTCAATCAAGTGAGTGTCTGCTTTGAGAACACATTTTCATGATTGGTTCTGAGAGTTTTTTGAACCTGGAATTATTGTTCTTAAATAAGACCATTGAAGAAAGGATATTCCTGTACTCCCCTTGCAAAGAGACCACTGGTGGGCAGTGAGGCCTGGGGTCTGGAACTCAGGTGAGAGCAACCCAAAACACTGCATTCATTCTGTACTTCTTTTCTGCCTGCAGGAGGCATGTTACACATACCGTGTCCTTCCCACCAACCCAGAAGTGCATGCCAAAACCTGGGGAGGAGGGAGAGCCCTTCCTTGCCCATGGTGTCCCCATGCTCCTGGACTTTCTATTCACTCTTCTGTTGTATTGCTTATGTTCTTGCATTAAAGCTGATCATCTTCTAATCCTCTGTGTTTATTTACTGGCCACTGATCAATTTCCCTTGAATACCAATTGTGTCATTAGGGGGACCTTTTCCACTCATCCCTGCTGACTTCCCCCTGATCTGTCTTTAAGCATTGTGACAGAACATTGGCAGTTGTGGGTGAAAGTGGAACTGACTCCTCTGCCTTGGTCAAAACTAGCCTCTGGGATTGCCAACACATGTCCACCCAGTGACTCCCAAGCTGGTAAACCCACTATCTAGGAGGTCCTTCTGTCCTCACCACTCATGCAGTCCAGTGCCTCCACTTCTGGGGAAGGCTGAGCAGTCTTTGGGAAACTCGCATCCCCAGCCCCACTCCCACAACTCTTAACAACAAGCAAGTGATGGGGAGGAACTGAAGCTGTGTTTTTGGCTCCCTGAGTCTTCTCTGATTAATGGGGCTAACTGCAGCTCTAGATTCTGGATTTAAAGACCAAGTCCAAGTCCAAGCTAGTTCTTACTTTGCAATCAAGGCCTCTGAGTGGCATTCCTGGTACTTCTGTTTGTTTTTTGTAAATTTTATTAGAACGGAATAGACACTTCACTTCTTCAGTATGCAAATGAAAATAAATCATAGTATAGGAAATCTTTTCCTTTTAAAATAAGTACCAGCCTGTCCAATTTCTGCTGTATATTATTATAAGTTTTATTCACAGGGAAAAATCCACACAATTGTAATTCAACACTTCTTTTCTTTTCCAGAGTGAAGAAGCCTTGGATTTTTAACATGTCGCCTCCCAGCTGACTTTTCTGTACATATTTAAACATCAAAATACAAAAAAATTGCAAAATGAGCTTATGGATAAGCATATTTTGTTCTTTGAGGTCATAATGTCCCAAGATACAGAAATAAGAAAATGGAAAACCTGGGAACTTAAAACAGAATGAAGGACAAAAGCCAGAAAAACAGAAATAAACATAATTTTCTGTACTTTGTCAGAAAAATATTTATTAATACGAACAAGGTGAGGTTGTGATGATTACATATACTAATCTAAATAGAAAAAATAGAAAAATCAAACAATGTGCATTAATTTCCTAAAAGAATGAATCAAACTTTGATTCTGAAAAGAGTCCCTTTACTTTGCATGAGGATTTCAAAAATAAAATATATTAGGCAATGAGGAAATTGCTATATGGTGAAGAAATATAATTTAAATTTCCAAGTTTGTTTCTGTCAAATTATATCATTAAGATATGAGGACAATGTGAAATAGAATATATAGGAGCCATCCATATTTACAATACCACAGAATCACATTTTTAGACTGAATCCATTGTTTAGGATGACCATAACAAAGCATTATAGGAGAAAAAGGAAAGGGGAAATCTCAAGGTGCTGGTCTCCAAAATTTGACATGTACTTTATGTCTATAAGCTGTGTTGACAGAATTTATTGAAAATACGGCATAGTAAACATCATTTTTGTCAGCAAGCAATGATGGCTTGATGTCTTTCAGTTTCTAGAAATGATTAGAAAACTTACATAAGAGTAAGTTAGATATTGAACTAATATTTGAAATATAACCAAAACCATATTTCACTAGCTGATACTGTGCAATTATCAATGGGTAGACTGAATAGCCAGAGGATAAGCTGAAGAGCACTCCCTTTGTTGTTACTGAGCATAACCAGAAACAGGCTGTAAAACCACTTTTACTTCAATGTATGTCTTGTTAACAAGACATGGATGACTTAATGCTCAACTTTATTTCCACTCTGCTCAAATCTGTCTTACGTTTAGAACCCTTAAGCCTTTTAAGAAAAGTTCAGTTATTAAAATCTCATCTTTCTAAATCCCAAGAATTCCTTACAATTGCTGGCATATGTGTCATTTTAAATTTTCCAGACAATATTTAAATTCAAAGGTGATGATGAAGTCCTGTATCCTTATTATCAATATTTAGCAGCAAAGGCAATTTCTTTAGAAGTAGTTACCTTTCCTGAGACAGACACCTTCCAAGAGCCTTGTGAAGGGCTCCCATTACATCCTTGTTCCTGAGGCTGTAGATGAGTGGGTTGAGCATGGGAGTGAGGATAGTGTAGAAGGCAGACACAGCTTTGTCCTGCTCAGGAGAGTGGTAAGAGTGAGGTAGCACATATGTGTACATGGCAGCCCCATAGAAGAGGCTGACAACTAACATGTGTGAAGAGCAGGTGGCCACAGCCTTTTGCCTTCCTTCTGCCTCACTCATCCTGTAAACAGTTATGAGAATCTTTGTTAAGAGGCTGAGATGACAGAGAAGGGAATAAGGAGCATTAAGATGCAGCAGACATACATGGCTGTCTCATAGGCTGATGTGTCCACACAGGAGAGTTTCAGAAGGGCAGGAACCTCACAGAAAAAGTGGTTGATTTCCCGAGAGGCACAGAAAGGGAATTGCATGGTGACTGGGGTGAGCAAGAAACCATCTACTGACCCTCCTAACCAGGCTGCCACCACAATCAATAAGCAGACCTTGCGACTCATAAGTTCAGAGTAGCGTAGAGGGCTGCAGATGGCTACATAGCGGTCATAAGACATAAGTCCCAGGAGAAAGAACTCAGCCCCTGCCAAGGTCAAGTAGAGGAAGTGCTGAGCAGTGCAGTTTGCAAATGAAATGGCCCTTTGGCCCATCACCTGGTCAAACAGCATCTTGGGCACAATGGTGGAAATGTACAGGATGTCCATGATGGAGAGCTGGCTGAGCAGAAAGTACATGGGGTTATGGAGGCGAGAATCCACGTAGATGAGAATGAGCATAATAGTGTTGCTGGCTATGGAAATTATAAAGACCAGGAGAATGAGGGCAAAGAGAAGCCAGGGGAAAGGAGTGCTGCTGAACAAACCGAGGAGGACAAAGTCAGCATACATGGAATAATTGCCCCACTCCATAACTCTGTGGGTTTCACAAAAGACAGGGGTGGGTATGGCAGAAAGATGGAAAAATATGGCTTATTTAAATACTGTGATGCAATCACAGACAAATCAAGAGACATTATGCTTATTCATGGCACTCAAAACTCAATTTCCTAAAAGAACAGTGTCAGTAGGATTGGGTTACTTTACATCATACCACTACTCATTCAAAAAGAATGAGCTTGGTTTGTTCACTACCACTTGTTAACTTAGAGGTGGTATTCTTTTGTTTATGTGCATTTACTTTTTTTTCTCTCTCTAAGTACAATCTTACCTCGAAGAGCATGTATACAAAATTGATAAAAATAGAGCCATGAATATGGCTACAGTGGTAGATAAGGAAGGAAGGTAACCACATACCATTTCCTTTCACTATCCTCTAGTTCTAAATCCAAATTTAGAATCCAGAATCACAGGCACTGATTAAGGGCATCTATTTTGCCTATGCAAAGATAAACACACCGATGTTACACAATTTGTATCATCCATGAAACGTTTATACATTGTAAAATTTTAGTATAACATTTTAGGTGTTCAATATTGCTGGAAAAAAGCCACAAGAGCTCTGAACTATGAGAAGCAATCCAATAACTAGCTTATCTGTCAAGGGAAAAAATAATGTTGATGGCCAACTGGCATTTATTTTCTTTCTTTTGGGAGAAATTTACTGGCTGTTAACATACAATTTTTAACACAAATGAAATGAGAGCAAAAATTAATGTAAGTTTCATACAAAAAGGAATGGAAAAGAATGAACTTATTTAAAAATACTAGAGTATATCTCTCAAAATTGGACTTTATTTGAACTTAAATTTGAAGTTAGAGTATGCATATATAACTATTTTAGGTAAACCTTTTACCAAATTTATAAATATTTATTGGATATTGGACAGTTTCTCTTGTCATCTACATTATTGGACATACATTCAGTATGGTAGCCATTATTCAAAGACATTATAAAAAAGATTTTATAATTCTTATATTGATTTTGTAAAATTATTTTTATGGATTATATAATTTTTATGTCAATTGCATGCTGAATTAATGATTTTCTTGATTTATTTGATTTTGTTTATTTTTATTTTTTTAATGTGGTTATTTGAAAATTTAAAATTACATTTATGGCTCCTATAAGATTTCTGCTTAAGAACGCTAGTCTAGAGGCATCTTTAACCAGAATTGACTGCAGAAACTATCTTCATCTAAACAAGCTTCCTAGAATCTAGCATAATCCAAATTAAATAAAAGCAATAAAAATGTAATGTAATGCCAAATTAGGAAAAGTAATAATGTTACTTGTGCATGTTATCACCTATAACTAGTAATCAGGACACATTAATTATAGAATGTGTAGTGATTCATAAATACTATTTAAATCACTTTCCAAAACAACCTTATAATACACTAGCACTACTAGTGCTATTTGTCCATTTAAAGAAGAAAAAATGAGCCTTCAAGAGATGAAGAAACTTCTCCAGGTCACATGGATATAGTTAAGCAGTGGCGATGTAATTACTCTATACTGCTCTCAGTAAGTCAAAGTCGGCCTCAATTCATTAATTCCACAAATATTTCCTGAGGCCCAAGGGGCAGAGTTTTAAATTCTGAACAGACCTAAAAGAATATAAGACATGCTCCCTACTTTGAAGAAGCCTAGAATTGATACAAGTGAAGCATCCATGGAGCATGCCTGACTACAGATACACTTTAATGATGGTTCTGGTTAGGATCTCCAGGGTGTGGCTTCTCTTTGGCTGGTGAACAGCAGAGAAGAAAAGGGCAGAACATTGTTAAGGTGAAAGTGTTGGAACCTAAATCCCAGTGGCTGTCAACATGAGAAACGGTCCCTTTTTAGATTTTATCACAACCATGCTGTGATAGGTGGGGGTTTAAAAATGAAAAGTAAATTCTTAACCAGATTTTTATTTATGACATTCATATTATATACACTTTCAGCTTTTTCATTCTTGAAATGGTTCAGCTTTTCACTGACTGTTTTCAGATGTGTGCCTTTATTCTGTTTCTTTTTCTTCCATGGAGAAATTTAACACAAATATTAGACAGTACCCACTTGTTAGAGAATGATATAAATGACCACACAGTCCTGCCCTTCAATCAAAATGAGAACAAGCACCTTGGAGGACTGTCTTTTCTGTTTCACAGTGATTCAGAGGATGGTCAACAGCCAGTGAAGACTAAACCAAGTGACTGCTATTGGTCCCTGAGGAGTGTTCAAGCCAAACAGGGAAAATGGTAACACACAAAAAAAATCTCCCTATCAAGAGATAGGTGTCTGCATTCCTGACTGAAAATTTTCCTGGCACTGAATCTTGCTAATAGGACCCAGGAGATCTTTCTGGCATTTTTCATAAAGGGAAAGGAGACTTGAGAAGCTCTACATTTCCTCAGATTTTAAGAGTATTATGCTTTCAATCTGTCAATGATTGACTTATGTTTCATATTGAAACAATTACAAAAATATAGCAACTTTAAAGAATGTGTGTGAAATAAAAAAAAAAGGAATGAATCAACTTTAAATACTCTAGGTCCCCATATAAAATTATTATTTCTATGCATTATTTTATTTTCTGTTTTTGACCACGCTGGGGATCAAACCCAGGGCTTTACACATGCTAGGCAAGTACTCTACCACTGAGCTGAACCCTATGCTTAATTTTAAAATTTGGTATTCTTTTAATTCTATATATCTTTAAGTATTAACTAATCCCTTTCTCAAGTAAATGTATAGTATGTACTCAGAATATTATAGCTCTTGTGACATAAACTTTATTTGTTGTTCCTCAATTGGTTGACATGCACATTGCTTCTAGATTGGCTTACAAAACACAGTATCATGAGATTAGTTCTCTGAGGTCAATCTCCCATGTAAGTGGGTTACTGAGTTTTAGAAGCTCATCACCAAACTGTTAGACAAAATTGTCGAATAGTGGTTCTAAGCACCAATGCAACAGACTTGTGGCATGTCACATGCTACAGCATTTACAAAGAGCACACACATTTTTATTAATATGATTTCTTATGGCAAAAGTGTGCATTTTATATATATTTTTCTCTTTATTTACTTATTTTGGAATTGGATTATCCATGACATTTGCATTTTGTATGTTAAGGAATACCAAAATTAGCGTGTTTTCTTTATTCAATAATGATGTTTTGTGTGTGATACATATTATGCTCATTACTTATATGTGATTTTAGGTAAGTGTTATGTAGTTTAAGCTATTGCTTATACTCTGGGTTCATTTGGGAAATTTTCCCATGTAAGAAGTGATTAATATGCAATTCTTTTACACTTTAAAAATAAAGAATATGTATTACATAAAAATATGTGATAGCATAATGCATCTAAAATTATTTAGGTCTTTGTTGAAAATTGTGGTAGTGTGGGTTTTTGTAAGACAAAGAATATAATATGCTTGTCTTTTATGATCATGCCACTGAGTCCCAATTCTTAGTTCATTACAGAAGGAAAAGAGCTAAAGAATAAATGATTAATATGAGTGATTTGCTTATTGAGGTTCAACATTTATCTCTGTTAATGTGAGACACACGATCACCGAGAAAGAAGTTTTCACTCACATTGCATGTGCAAATTCTGGCATGAAATATGGGTATAAAAAACAGCTGAGTTGTTATGTTGGCCTTAGAACTGTGAGAGAAGTGACAATTAACTATTGGAATCTCAACTCATGCTTTCCATATCTCTTCTCTTCAATAATAACAGATCCAATGGCAAGGACTTGATTTTTCGTTTTAAAAAAACTTTTGATGTTATCATTTTCCTGTCAAACATTGCTCTATGTCACGAATGGATACAGTTTGTGGTGATCATCTAATTCAGAAGGTGTCTGAGACTGCACAAAGCCTGCTTTAGAGATGACCTGAGGACAGCTGGCATGAACAGGTACTGTCCTGGGGAAACAAGCATAAACAGTGACCCTAACTAAAAGCCACTTAATATTGTTTAACCCAATGTACTATTTTTTTTCCTAGGCAGTATTTTCATACAAAGTCTCACTTTTAATTGTGTCATAAAAGACAATTTCTAAAATAAAATCACTTAGGAAGTCATTTAAAATGATAGAGAAATACAAAGAAGCCAATGGACCATTATTTTAGATGAATGCAGATCAAAGTTATGGTCATCTCATAGTTAATTCTCAAGGAACTTTGAACCAAGGTCTTTCTCTGCTATTCCTACCTTCCAAAACCTGCCTATCCTCAGTGTTTGGTGTATAATATTGCAAAGCTTAAGTATAGTTTGTGGTCAGAAAAATTCTTTACTTTCATCATGTCTGGAGAGCCACTCACATGTTCTCTCCTTTTGGCCTCAATTTATTTCTTTTCTTTCTTTTAATTCATCATTTTTACATTTACTTACATGTGTGTGCATTGTTTGGGCCACCTCTGCCCTCCTGCTTCTGGGAAGAACTTCCTCTTTTTTTTGTGGTACAAATAATAGTGAAGTTTATTGGGAAAGAAATTCGTTTAACCTTGGTAAATATGGGGAGAAGTGAAAAAAAAAAAGACAGAGAAATATTTCCTGCCACATGCAGGAAAAGGAAGAACAGCCTTCTCAAGTAATTTCTAAGTATCAAAGAAGAAATCATGCTGCAATCATTTTCTGGAACAAGTCATGAAGAATTTTTATAACAAAACCACTTTTACAGATATTTATGAGTTCCCTGAGGAGATAGAATATTATAAACAAATTAGATAACACTTCTCCCTGTATTATTGTAAAATCAAATACATGAATACAATGTTCCAATGATGAAAACTTTGTTGAATCTTTGCATGGAAGCAAAACTATACAGAATTTTCCTGAGCAGAGAAATCACCTACATTCTGTTGTACATGGCATTTCATCACATCAGATGATAGAAGAAATGAACTAAAAAAATAAAATTTGCAAGAGGAACAGTGATTCATAAAGACTCATTAGAATGCAGAGA